AGGGCACTCGCTTTTTGCACTCATGACCTGACCTGTGTTTGTAGGCTTGCGAAAAACACTTGTTGTGAACTTATTTTCCTCCACAGTAACGCTAACGTCTAAAAAGGCTAACGTTTTGTCGATACTTTTCTCAAAAGTGTACCGGAGTACAGAGTTCGCTTCAAGACCTGCTATTACTCTTTGTAAATGCTCATCGTCCTGTACCTCTACAAAAATATCATCAACATATCTGCAGTACGTTGTTGGGACCGGACAAACTTCGCTCAGTGTTTTGTTTTCAACAAAGCACATGTAAAAATTCGCAAAGAGAGGCCCCAGGGGTGAACCCATTGCCACACCCTCTTTTTGGACATATAATTTTCCATCGGGACCACGGAATGGGCATTCAGTAGTGCACGCACGGAGAAGTTTTTCGAGAATCTTTTATATATATATATATATATATATATATATATATATATATATATATATATATATATATATATATATATATATATATATATAATTTAGATAATTATATATATATAATTATATATATATATATAATTTAGAATATATATATATATATATATATATATATATATATATATATATATATATATATATATATATATATATATATATATATATATATATATATATATATATATATTGTATTGTATATTGTATGTTCTAGATGGCGTTGGTGGGGAATTAGGGAGATTGTTCGTCCTTCTATGCAATTTAGATAAAAATGTGTTAATGTGATTGGTTTGGAAAGCATCTCGGCATAACCATTGTGGAGTCAAAGGGCAATGTTATGTTATACAATAATACAATGTGGTCTTACAGTGCCTCTAGTTTTTTTTTTCGGTACCTATTCTCAATTTTGCATAAGTAAGCGGCATTAGGAAGGCATAAGGAAGGGACTCAGCGAGACATAATGAAGCATTTTTTTTGGGAGTAAGCCCACTTCCGTGGGGTCTGATGCCACCTTTCCGGTCCTGCCCATTCTCCGTTGGTCCCAAGATCAAGAATAATACCAATGATACCAAAAATGATACCAGTAAGAAGCGAGCATTTAGGACTTACATCCATGCATACATTTTTAGACCAAGGAACTGCTTATCTAGTAATAGACCAGTTCCCATCTTCTTGTGAGTTGTGACTAGCTATACTTTTTTGTCGTTATGGTGTATGTATCCAGTGGCGCAGCCAGGATTTCGTTTCGGGGGGGTCATCGCTTCCAAAGCGGGCCCCCTAGTGTGCGGGCCCCCACCCATTTTTCAGAATCTCTCCATATTTCATACGCATTCTGCTGGGCGGGCCCCCTTTACCTGCACGATAACCCTGAGCGAGTTTGAATCAGAAAATTTGCATAGAACAGTAGCTCGGTAATCACCCGGTCTTCACTTTTTACGCAAATTGACCACGACAGAAATATGTTACTATGACGTATGACTTCGTATCTTTCGAGTCCGATATGAGCCCCAATTCCGCAATATGCATAGCATATTATATGCAATCGGAACTGTTGCCTGCTTCTGTCGCACAAGATTTAAAAGTAGTCCCATGTGCCTGTCCTAAGTCATCTATTGGCTGCTGTAGTAGATTGTGCTTTTATTCTTCTTCATTACGTGAATTCGCTCGTAAGAAGTTTTAACCCTCGCCGGCACAGGGGGGAGGGGTTGATGCAACCCCCTAAGGTTTTTTTTCGCGAAGAACTCGCGTAAAAAAGCGGCTGATCGCGACGTAACTTCCATAGTGCGCTGAAATTCGCGCAACTTATAGAACAAGGATGGGTAACGTGCCTGTGAAGAGTCACAGCTCGATCGGGCCGGTGGTGAGCACATGGCGCGTGCTCAAAAAGTGCAAATTCGCGTCATAGACTTTACATGCATAAATCGGCTTGCAAAAATGGGCGACAATGGCTCAACTTGCCCGACACGGGTCCGGTCCCCGTGCAGTATCTCGGTAACCGTGGGTCCGATCGGCACGAGGAACACAGTATCGTGCATGAGAATCGAACGGGCTATCGAATGGTGTGCGGTGCAGGGATGGCACGCGCCACGTGCACCCGTGAGGGCACTTATGCTTGAAAAATTGACGTTTTGGACGGATTTTGGACTTAATGCTATTTTTGGGTGACTGTCAGACGGAGCGGGTTCAAACAACGCTTGTTGGCAAGAGAAATGTACCTACCGCCTCTCATGGGAAAATTGTGAAAAGCTAATTGATCAAAAACAAGGTGGAACAAATTGCTGGAGAAAATAGCATTTGCTTATGACTTACTTAATTACAGGGGTTTTGCTACATAACCTGGTATGTTTGACAATTGAAATGGGCATAGATTGGAAGAGCATTCAATTGTGACCAAGGTCCAATCATCGCTTTTGCATGACGAGCAACAATATTCTTAAGAATATAAATGTTTCAAACCTCTACATAGTAATTCATCGATGGCTTTCACTCTTCAATAACCTACGCCAACCTATGTCATGAAATACACTTGGCATGTTCTATAGTAGAACGCATGGTTATTATCAGACACGAGCACCTCGATGCGATGGATATTTTTTCCCAAAACCAAAATGCTTAGCCGTCAAAAGGCAATCGACCGTAATGGATACATAACCCACAGACACAAGACCAACCAAACGCCCACCGATCGAAATGCCCCTTATTCGCGTTGCGAAGCAAGCGGGTCACCCTAGCGGGCCCCATTCACCCGGGGGCTCGGGCCCTATCCACATGGGGGACCAAGCCCTATCCATACGGGGGCCCGGGCCACGTTCACCTGGGCTCCGGGCCTCGTCCACCCGGGGCTCCGGGGCCCGCCCACCAGGGGGCCCGGGCCCCATCCAGCCGGGGGCCCGGGCCCCGTCCACCCGGGGCCTGGGGTCCATACTCCCGGGGGCCCGGACCCATCCATCGGGGGCCCTGGCCCCATCTACCCGGGGGGCCATGCCCCATCCACCGAAGGGGCCCGGGCCCGTTCTCCCGGGGCCCGGGCCCCATCCACCCGGGGGCCTGTGCCCTATCCACCCAGGGGCCCGTGCCCTATCCACCCAGGGGCCCGTGCCCTATCCACCCAGGGGGCCCGGGCCCGTTCTCGGCCGGGGCCCGGGCCCCATCCAACCGGGGGTCCGGCCCCGTCCACCCGGGGCTCAGGGCCGTTCTCCCGGGGGCCCGGGCCCCATCCAGCCGGGGGCCCGGGCCCCCTCCACCCAGGGGGCCCGGGCCCGTTCTCCCGGAGCCTCGGGCCCCATCCACCCGAGGGGCCTGGACCCGTTCTCGCGGGACCCGGGGGTCCGGGCCCCGTCCACCCGGGGCCCGTTCTCCCGGTGGCTCGGATCCATCCACCGGGGCCCCATCCGCCGGGGGGCCCGGGCCCTATCCACCCGGGGGCCCGGACCCATCTACAGGGGGCCCGGGTCCCATCCACCCAGGGGGCCGGGCCCGTTCTCCTGGGGGCCCGGGCCCTGTCCACCTGGGGCCCCAGGCCGACCCCTCACCCGAGGTGTCGCAGTGGGCATTTCTCGAAGCGGGCTCGTCCGATTAGATTAGGACCTCTCTCTCTCTCCTCTCTCTCTCTCTCTCTCTCTCTCTCTCTCTCTCTCTCTCTCTCTCTCTCTCTCTCTCTCTCTCTCTCTCTCTCTCTCACTCTCTCTCTCGAGCGGGCCCCTGACAGAAATTTCGGGGGGGTCAGCTGACCCTCTGACCCCCCCCCCCCCTGGCTGCGCCACTGTATGTATCTGTCGCAGGTGGTGCTGCATGCTGCTTTTTCAAATAAGAAAATTTCTAGAATGCAAAGTTATTGATGTTCGAACGATTAATTTTGAAGACTACATGTCGGCCGATAATTATTTGATACAAAAGCTTTGTTCGAAACTGTCGATAGCGTATTTTTGTTTCCAGAATGAATCAACAGCGAGATAACGTTTTTGACCGCTCGTTTTGTTCCACTCTGTAGACATCGGAAACCAACTTCGAGCATCAAAGTTGAAAATGGAAATGCTGTAACAATGAAAGATCCACAATCCACAATCCACATGTCATAGACCTATAATTATGAATCTAAAACTATCGAAGGGTGCACAACATTTTGCACGTCAGTTTGCTCGGGTCTTGGAAACATAGACTCGTTGGAGTGTTTTGTTGACTTGGATGACTTTCAGCGGCGCACGCTGTCATTAGGTTTGACTATCTGTTGTGTAAGGACCGAGTGTGTGCGGTCTGCAGCCGAACACGATGTCCACTTGAGTATCGCGCCGCATTGGCCGCAGTGCGCCGCAAACCGCTGGAATCCAAGTGACGCCGCGCTCAGTCGGCTTATGAGACTCGACCGCCCATCAGGAGGAGGTGTTGCCATCGTAATCAATATCGTCAAACCGCGTCGTGCCGTGTTATACGTGACAGGTGTGGCGGCGGCGGCTTATCCCCCGGCTCATAACACCCCGATCTGCTCATCACTTTTCCCCTCTTTTCTCCCACATGATCTATAGAGCACTTAGCATTGTCACACGGCTCGTTCCAACGTGGAGGCCAGCTCGGATCGCGGCCGTAACGGATTATATCTAGGGGCGCAATTAATTTTGGTCTTGCACGGATAGCCATTATATCAGTGGAAGAAACTGTTCGTGGAAAGGTGCTGTTAGCCCCGTGAGGTGGGTAATTGGTGGATCACGTCTATTCGGACGAGGGAGCCTACAGTGTCATAAAGAATGCTCGCTGCCAGTTGCTTCAACAATGCAATTGATAAATTAGGCTCTGTCGCTTGAAGCCGACTGAACTAATGGTGATGATTTCATGAAATGGATTGCCGTCATCATGTGAGCTTTACGTCAATGCAGCTGTGGTGTGGTCTATAGAAGTGTAATGCGTCGGTGCGTTGACATGAGACTCTCGCAAGCGACACAGCCCGGGCGAAACGTGTTCTAGGTGGGTATCAACACATGTATTGTACCAACAAACATATACTATGTAGTTTCTCATTGCTCTATATAAGTAAAACAGGCACGTCCACAATAATACAATTATATTAAATTATAATATCATCTGACGAATCATAAGACACTTGTATACAAATTTTAGCTCGAAAGAACGGATCATATATATGGAGATAATACGGCACGTATGGGACGAAGCGGAACGATATGAAATACCTCGGATAATTATCGGCCTAAAATGCAGCGACAGATACAGATTGTAAATACTTGGTCCGGAATGAGCACAGTCAAAGTGCAAAAGTGCACAGCAGTTCACTAACCACGGAAGTGCGTGAGGCCTGCGCTTTTCAGTGAACAGAAGAGCAACCAACGCCCGGATGCCTCGCCTCTTACGAAAAATGTGGGCATCGTCGCAGGTCAGTGAAGTCAGTACAGAGGAACATTGGATAGACACAGGCAAGCGACACTTCGCACACAGGATCGATTCGCTCGGCGGTGACTACACACTAACGTATCACAGATATCGGGTCCACATGATAACCCCTGATCGAAGAGAGAACTCCTCTCATCGGAGAGCCCGCTGCTTCTCGCGGACTGAACGAGAACGCCCACAGTCGCGAGAGCATTGCGCTTCTATCGTCAGCGGCGACGACGCATTTGTCATAGAAACGGGTGCCGCGGTCGCCCCTGGCCGCACGCAACGAGAAAGGAGCGGAGGAGGAGACTAGTGCGGCCGCCCGGCCGAGCCCTCCCGAAATAAAGCTTTACTTCAAACGAGCCTGGCACTGAGGATCTCAGACCGCCCGGTGGCAGGAGCCACAGCGTCTGATCCCCAGTAGCACCAAGCAAGACAATCATCCATCTCACACGCACCCACCCCGTCCCAGCCCTTCCCCGGTGACCGCTCCGGCCGATCCCTCAGGGCGCCCGGCTGGCCAGTAACAGGGACTGGGATGTCGGCAGCGGCATGTGCAGCGAGCGGGGCACCTGGCCGGGCAGCGGCAGGCCGGCCAGGGACGGCACTAGCGGCACGGCCGCCCCAGGGAACATGTGGAAGCCAGGCAGCATCGGGTTAGCGGCCATCCGCAGCTTCTCCACCTCAGCCTCCTGCAGGCGCTTCGACTTGGCGCGCCGGTTCTGGAACCAGATCTTCACCTGGGTCTCGGTGAGGCTGAGCTCGTTGGAGAACTCGGCCCGCTCGGCGATGGAGAGGTACTGCTTCTGCTTGAACTTGTTCTCCAGCGAGAGCAGCTGCTGGTTGGTGAAGGGCGTGCGCGGCTTGCGGTTCGGCTTGTGCTTCCGCAGGTGCACCGACAGCGGCAGCAGCAGCTTGGGACTGTCGTCGGCATCTAAGGAGAGGGAAGACGATTGTCAGCGGCTGTTAAAAGCGGTTTGTGGCATGGACAGATAATGGTGGGTGAAACTTAAACTGCTTACAAGAGATAAGCATTCGAACGACAGACATTGTTTTGATCTGGGGAAAACCAATAGCGGTGACAGAAACAACTGTTCATGAACATTATGTTTTAGCGAGAGCAAGAGGCGGTTATAAGCAATTCATTGAATGTCATTGGTTTCATTCATTGAATCGTGGAACTTGTTTTGCAATAACAACGACATTATGAATGTTGGGTACTTATATTGGCAGAAAATAGAAATGCATATTTGAAAATAACTTAACTTGAAGCAGCATTTCTCATTGACATTTTCCTGGTGTGCTAACAGGTGCTACAAATAAAACAATTATATTTCTACATACTAGATGTAACGTTAAGGCTTGCTACGTTTTTTTTCAAACGTTAACAAACATTCGTTGTAGCCGAGAGAACGGTTCACGACTGTTTGTATCCTTGCCAACATATACCGATTCAGTTCAGTTATGCTGTCAACTTATATCCTTCTGATTGATGCGTAGCGACCCCACCTCGGATATCTATTGAATGTTTTGGAATTGTTATCGGTGGACGATAGGCAAAGTTTATGAATTATGATACGCAACCTCCCAAATATGTATCATATGCTACACCTTGTGATGGCACATGCATTTGTATTTGCAGCACTGGGAAGGTTACTTATTGATATTTTTAATCGTGCGGATTCTTCATAAATTCGAAACATTCTATGAGCAACAGTACTTTACAGCGAATTGATGTTGCGTTGCGTTCTTCAAAAGATATTCGTTTGCTGTTTTCATCTAGGTCATCGGAACTCGGTTGACTTATTATTTTTAAGCCCCAAAATGACGATTTTTTCTGGACTTGTTGCCACTTAGTCAAGATTTAAAATAAAATACAATATTTTTTTGGAAACAAGAGGTAGCTGAATATAATTAAGATACATTTGCATGAGGTAAACGCGGCAAAGTTTCTTTTGTTTCAGCTATTTTCGTTTCTTTTCTGCACGACTGACCAATGCAAAGCAGTTTCATCAGGTTACCATGCGACACTCCGTCCGATATCTCACGACTGACGATTATCAGGCCGCTGATCAAGATCAATGAGGTGGGATGAAATAAAGTGTGAACATAGCACACACTGACTGGTGCCACACTAGGACCGAGGCCGGTTCTCCCGGGGGTCGAACTCACCTGACTTCTGTTTGGGCGAGTGCAGGCTGAGCGGCAGGCCGGTGGGCCAGAAGCGCTGCTGTGCAATCGACGGGTGGATCCTGTACGGGGACAGCAGCTCGGGCCGCAGCGGCGCAGAGGCGGCCGACACGGCTGCTGCCGTAGCGGCGGCGGCAGCGGCGGCTGACACGGCAGGGCTGACGGCGCCGCTGCCGAACTGCCGGCCCGGCTCCGGAGAGCCAGCCGGGCTCGACGCCGGACTGCTGACGCTGACTCGAGTCGGCCGCGGCTCGCGACTCAGCAGCGACTCGACGCTGAACGATAGGGTCGGCCGAGCGGGGGCCGGCGCCGGCGGCGGCGACTCCAGCTCCGACCCGGAGGCCTCCGAACAGCTGTCCGATTTGTCTTCGACGGTCATGGCGGCGGCAGCAGCAGCGGGAACACAGGCGCCACTCTCGGCTACAGCGAGTCGACTGGTGCCGCTCAGCCGGCCGGCCCGCGCCGGCGTGGCCGACGACGGGGCGGGGCCAGCGCCGGTGGGAGGAGCCCTCCAGCCGCCGGCCAATCAGAAGACCGCTTACAAACGGCGGGCCGAGTTTGTAATGATAATTGTGCGGACAATAGGAAACAGACTAGCCCGGTGCCTCTTGGGGCATTTTACGTGATTACCTACATGGAGGTTTCACATTATTTGCCATGATTGGTGAGCTGAAAATTAAACTTTAATTATTCCAGGTAGAAACCAACAGACCGTCATACACGAGATGACACCGGCTTCCAGAGATTTGATTGAGATTGATAAATGACCGGTGATTATTAGTTCGAAATCGGCTCCAATTACTGATAGTGAATATGTAGAATAGATAGTGTTATTATCGGGGTGTTCCGAGCACAACTGATTGGTGGAAATCACGTAACATCACGGTTGACACATGGTCAACTGATCGACTGACTGACGGTCTCCAAATTGTTACGAAAGGTTTTTTCTTCACATTTTTAAAAGATGCACATTTTTTGGTGATTTTGTGCAATGAGCATGCACAGCTAACAGGCGAATTGTTGGGTTTTATTATGTGATCATTACTCAAAATTTTTACATACCCTCCCAACTAGTGATGTTGGTATCATTGTAGACCAAGTTGGCAGACTTGTGCATGGATCCGAGAAAATGGATTTTGGATTTGATCCCACGGATCCTGATCTCGGATCCGACGGAATCGTAGATCCAGCTCTTAAATTTATCGAGAGATCCGTAGCGATCATGGATCCGAGCCTACTTTTTTGTTTGAGATCCAGTGAGATCATAGGTCCTCACTTGTTTTTCGAAAACACAGAAATCCCAAAAAAATCACTTTTTGCAACTCATAAACGTTCTATTTTAGTGACTTTATGTGGTTGCACGTCATAACCCATAGTTTTGTGGCACTTGTTGACGTAGAAATACTTAGAAACCTGGTTTCAAGCGTTGTGCATGGTGGGATCCACTCAGATCATAGAACCATGTTCTTGGTCTATCGTCAGATCCTATGAGATCGTAGATCCAGGATAATTTTTCACTCGGATCCGGTGGGATCATAGATCCTACCCTGCACTTTGCTTCGAGATCCACTGAGATCATATAGATCCATCACTCGGGTCCATGCACAATGCACATGTCTGTAAGTTGGCATCGCTTTGGTATCGGTATATGAAAAAGTTTGTAGGTATCCGATTCTCATCACAACTCCCAACACAAAAAAAATCCTCTTTATGAAATTCATAATTATACCTACCCTACCTAGTGGGTGGCAGATGGTAGATATTTTTGGAATACCATTATGAAGTGGTTTCTGTTGCCTTAGTTCAGTGGTGATACCGATTTTGAAGGTGCCTAACTAAATCCGAAAAAGAAATCTTTGATGAGAATGGGAAGCATGGGAAAGCCGCTTTTAATGGGAGCTCAAAGGGGATTTTTCTTCTTTTTAGCTAATCCCTCCCTCATTTTTTGCACCTCCAGACATTGATTCATTCACTTTTCCCTAAATCGATCACATTTTTGTCTTTCTCATGCTAAACCTTTGTCAGAGTCGTGCACGCGTGTGTCGCCATCGCTAGTCGCCCCCCACCCCCCGAAGGTGGGTCGCTTTCTCCGTCGGTCACACCGTTTGTGGCCGGGGAATTTCATCAGCATTAATTTCACATCAGCCGGGAACAAACAGCGAAATCGGCCCATCTATTCAGATTTACGAATTGCTCTCCCGATAATGGGGAATATATAGAGGATCGTGCTGGGTGGCGGGTCTGTAGATGTGCTTCCTTTCCTTCAGTCTGCTGTAGTTAAGTTTCACGAAAGTGGTGTGCGCCTGAATGAAGGGGCTGAATGTTCCGTTTTGATGTTTTTACACGCATAAGACTTATTTAAACTGTCTTATAGCGTCTTTCATCAGCTTAATGTTTCATTACATGCGTAGGCTAAATAGTTGGAACATGCGTAGGCGTGTAATTGGATTCCTTTCTTATTGTTATTTTATAAAAGGAAAAAAATCAACCACGGTTGGGCCTAATAAGATCTTATTCGGCGTTCTGTTTTCTACAAGCTATAAATAATTTTGACACACACCAAGACCGAAAAACCTATCCTCTTTGCTAATCTACTTACCTGCATATTTTAATTAGGTAGAAATTATATTCAGTTGAATTTGAAAGAATTAAATGCATCGTTGTTATTATTGAATATGAAGACTTGATGCCGTTAATAATAGTAAACTACGTGGCCTTTGTGTAGGCGTAGAGAATTGTTAACGTTAGATATATTTATAAAGTTCGTCATTTTGTCGGATCAGCTGATCGGATCACCCTCCTCGGAACTTGCCAAGGATGCGGGCAATAAAGGATATATTCCACTTCGCGTGCGGTATATCACGGGTAGATTGTTCTCCGTACCCAGCCGGAAAGATTCTCCCGCATCTGTCACCTGTACCGAATACCTCAACGACACGGGTGAACCAAAATCGGTTTACATCCCGCGGATAATCCTCACCGGGCTCGCAGTTCACTACGGGCTCGTCGATGGACTGTGGGCGGCGGGTGCTCCTTCCGCCTGTGTGTGAGGTGGGCTGTCCGGAAGCCGGCCGCCTGTCTGGGTGGGGTGGCGATCGCCACTCAGCCGGCTAAGGGCCACCGTAAGCCGCCCGGCCACAGAGGTGCCGACACGACAGTGCGCCGTCTCTGAGCCGATTACCGCGGTGCCGGCGGCACGCTGACCTCCCAGCCGGCCGCTCCGGTGGCCGCTAATCCCCGCCGCCGCCGCCGGCGTGAGCCGCCGGTCAGTCCGGTCACCGAGCGCCGCTAATTGAGTCAGCGGCGATCACGGCGCAGCGGCGGCCAGTGCGCCGCGCCGCGCCGGCTGCCCGGTTTTGTCGGCTCGGGCCGCCCTGTAATTACCGGCCGGGCGCCCTCGATTCATCGCGCCCCGGGCATCAATAATGACGCGAGCAATTACAATCATTACGGCGGTTAGACGGCCGACGCTGGAATGCGTGTGTGTGTTTTCTCGATCGATGAAGACATGAGAAGGCGCAGCGGGTTAAACCGCCGCGCGCCGGCGCAACGGACGGGGACAAGCGGCTGTGGCCAGCGCCTGACCGCAGCATGATGGGCGAGACCTCAATGAATAAGGGATGGTCGCGATACATTGGCCGGTCTACCAGAAGTGGTACGTCAATTGCCACAAATGCTTAAGCGCCGTCGCTCTTTGTACTGGGCATCTGTAGGACACGTTGCATGGACAATAGAGAAATTACGTTTTACCTACGCATTACTTTTTAGAACACGTTTCAGCCACGTTTCTTACGTTTTACGTTTCACTAAATTGATATTTTACTTTGTTAAAAACAATCCAAAAGTGTTCAAGAGTATTCTTCAGAGGCCAAAGTCACAGAAAGCATGCCCACTTGAACCAATATCACCGCTGTTCGGTTGTATGGGTGCTCTCTGCTCCTAACCTGAAGGGGCACTGAACTGAACGAACAGCAGACAAGGTTATTATCGCATCAGTAGCCCCACGCTAGTTTGTGGCTAGCCCAAGCTACTCCCTCGCTCTGCCACTAGTTCAAAACGGGGCACATGCCATAAACAAGGTGGTTTATGCCGCGATCGATCATCGTTGGAGTGAGTCACTGAATGCTCTGTTCGGGTGAGGGTTCTGTTTATCCCGGACGGCGAACGGCAGCACATTTTCAGCGTCGGTCCCCCTTTAGACTCGGGCTTTTGTTGGTCAGTACCCGGCCCGGTCCAGTAAGCAGGTGGAATGTTTGACCAAGTACGTATGTGCCAGAATAGTTGATCCAGAAGTTATCGTGAATGACTGTCGGCAACGGCCTTGAGGTTCAAACAGGTGCATCTTTGGTTTTATTTTACCTGCCGATTACCTACTTTTATTCAACTGGTAGGTATGTATCATCGTTTTCGAAACAATACATATTTGGAGCTAATCGCCATCGGCACTTTTCTCCTTGCCACTTCAAATCCTTCCTTTATCCAAAAGCTGTGATCCGCCGCTGCTGGTACAGGCTGCTATACGTCATCTGTCCTACCATATCAGCCACGCCGACCTGTCAGACGATCAGTCAGAGCGCGCAGGGACGGCCGATTGCGGCAAAAACGTCTCAGAGACGCACAGGGCCGGCTGCAGACCCGGCGGCACCTAATGTGTTCGCTCACCTGTGAACCGACTCCTCATAGCGTCACGTCGCGGAATCTCGTTCAACCAGTCATTAACAGGTGGCACGCAGAAAAAGCGATACAATGAGACGACCGGACCGTGCAAAAACACGAGTGGGGACAGGAGAGACGCGCACGCCGCGGGGACACATACAAACGGGTTAGGTTGGGTTCGGTGAGATAATCCGAGAGCCTTGGTGGTCAGTTACAGATGGTCAGATTGCATGCCCTTGAGCGACTGGGCATACGCATTGGAACGATTTGGAATAAGAGGACGTCTCTCTAATATGTTTTTTTCTGTAGCTTCGACGTGACTTATAAGACCCATATATTCGCAAAGGTCCTTGCAAATTGAATGTGGTGGGATTGCTCGGTTTTGTTTATTCTTAAAGAAGACCAGGGCGATCTGCCCCGACAGGTCAGTTGTGAAGGGCGATGCGCACTCCTCTGTCCCTGTCTCTGTCCCTGTCCACTCTATACCACTCCGTTTTCTCCTGTCCCCACCGTCCGTCTCCCGTTCTCCGCTCTTGCGCCCCTATCCCGACCCCGGCTCTATCTCAGCTCGTTCTCCGCTCTTCTCCCGTTCCTCGTTCACCCTCTCCTAGCCCAGCCTCGGTTCTCCCTCCGACCCTGCCTGCATCTCCCGTTCTCCATCCGTGTTCACTGCTCCCCTACCCAGCCTGTCCTCTCTCCTCCCGCTGCCCGGTCGGCGGCCTCCTCAGCCCCGCCGCCGCCAACGTCGAGCCCAATTAAAACCATTCAGCGGCCGGGCGCGTCAACCCAGATACCTGAGCCGGCTGCCGACCACAATACAAACCTAATTTCCTGATGCATTCACCACGCCATGGCTGGCTATTGTCGCCTGCAAGAAGTCATA